AAAAAACGGAAATATTCATCTGTCATCTTTGAATAGAACTTGAAATGATTCCGAGGCAACAGATTTCTTAAATGTTTTGATTTCTGATAAGCAATGATTCCGAGGCAACAATTGATAACCATGGTGATCCTATGGCCTCATTTCAGCAACTTACTCTATAGATTAAATTTTAGTCAATCAATTTTAATTTTTTCCTTTTTTAAGGGAAAAAGCTAGTTTAGCAAATGCAAAAAGATTACTACGAAAGAGAATAGGATTTGTTTGGTAGTTAAATTATCATCATAATGTCATCTTCTACGCACCTCTATTAGTTAATATTAAGGAGAAGTTTCGTTAGTGGAACGATCTTATTTATTTCTTGTTTGTAGGAGACAATAGGGGGAATCAAAGCAAGGCCAAAAAAGAAAGAAATAAACAAGAAGCAAAACAAAATCTTAACATTTTGTCCTGAAAGTCATCGAAATGAGATAATGGGGTTGACTAGTTTAGGCATTGAGTATGTCCAAGTTGCGTTATGCATGGACCATGATCTAATAGCTGCTTCTAGTGTTTGAGCACATGATACTAAACAATACTTTATTAATTTAACTATGGTCTGAATTTTTGGACGGTTTAAGAAACCTTCCTTCAATTCGACCTACATTGATGTCGTGTCTTACTCAATATTTTTTTTTTTTTATTTGTTCTACAAAATTCTCGAACCTAAGTTAGCGATAGAGTAAAGTGTTTTTCGCGGAAATGAGAACATTGATTTGTAAAGAAGCTATCAACTTAGTGGCATCTGGACACAAGAATTATGAAATCTTTTTTCAAGTGAATATAATTTGAAAATTAGAGTTTGTGCTTGAATATAATTTGGAGGTGTTTTTTTGAATTTTTGTGAGTGATTTGAAGTTAAAATTTTGAAAAATAGTTTTTTGGAGTTTTTCAAGGGAAATATTTCACGTAAGAACAAGTGGAATCCCTACTTTTCAATTTTATAGCCCATATTTCAATTTACAACCAACTAGCCCAAAAATAATAGGCTAAGATTGCCAAAATTTTACGGTATATCCAGTTTTCGGACTGGTCAATCAAAAATAGTCAGCGTTTACCAAGTCAATGAAATAGCCACCGTTTTGCTGCAATAGAGACCGGTCCCGCATAATATACTGGAGTTTGGTGCACTTGTGTATGAACTCCAGCATATTATGCTGGACCGGTATACTTTGCTGGCTCCAGTATAATATACTGGAGACTGGAGCACTGGTGCTCCAAACTCCAGTATATTATACTGGACCATTATACTTGCTGGAACTCCAGTATATTATGCTGGAGTTCTAGTGTATTTATGTTGGAACTCCATCATATTATGCTGGAGTTCCAGCATACTATCCTGGAACTCCAGTATAATATGCTGGAGTTCAAGTATACTTATGCTGGAACTCCAGCATAATATACTGGAGTATTTTCCTGGTTTTGAACAGTGTTTTCGCTCAGATTTATCTTTACATAAAAAGTGGCTAAATTTCGATTACTTTTGAAATTGGGCTATTTTTGAACGACCAGTTGTAAATCTGGCTATTTTTAAAAATCTCAATATCCAACTCTAATAAATTCTCAAAATTACTATTTAATTTTTAAAAAAGATTGCTCAAGCTTTTAAGTTAGTTTTCGAATCAGCAACTGTAACTCAAATATTAGTTCAACAAACCAAATCCATTTTGAATAGTGAAAATTAGATTTTTAACAAGCTTAATATGTGGGTTTAAATTCCGAATTTGATTTTGTGAGAAATTTGGAGTGGGTGGAATTTAGAATTGTTAGAAATAGTATAAGGAGGTTGTTGTATATAAAATTTGAAGTCATTTAATGAAGATTTGGACTGGTTTTGAACAAGAATTGCAACTGAAAAATCGTGGAAGAAGTTCGTCTACAGACGCTTGTATAAAGGTGTATAAAAGTGTATAATAGTGTATAAGATGTGTTTATACACTCATATACACTATTATACAAGATTATACATAATTATACAAAAAACTGCCTTCGTCTTCTTCCTTGCGTCTTTTCTGAAATTTAACTCAAATCTTGCTCAAATCTACTCAAATCACTTCAAATTTAAATTTTGAACTCCTTTTGATACTTTCAATCAATTGGAACAACACCCAATCCAAACAACTGACAAACTCAAAAAATTCTATTTTCGAAAGCAAAGCTTTGAATAGCCTTCAATGGTGGACTTCTACTCTTCAATTTTCTTACATTGCAACCAGGTGACACAGGGGGAGAAGCAGTAATGGCAGACGACCCCTTGAACATATGTAGAAGATGTGAGAAGAAAAGGGAGTGAAAGCAATGGTTGTGAGAACACAAATTTAACTCCATAGCTTTTAGAAGCAATGATCGTAAGAACACAGATTTTGAATTTGCTAGTGCTTTCAAAATATGTACAATATGGGCTAGGTCGGGTAAAACTTAAAAACATGTGCCATTTTTTGTTATGATGTGATGCCAAGTGTATTTTCTTGTAATTCTTCTGAAAAATTTCTCAACTTCAAATGAAATTTAAAATTTTTATGACCAAATACTATTCCGGGGGAAAAAAAAAAATATGGCCAAACGGGCCCTTAACAAGTTCAGGTTGTTGGATAACGATAAGGAACTTCCAGTTATTATTAGAAGGTGTCCTCAGGTTCGTTAAAGTACAATGCCCATCTACCATCTTTTAGATTTAGATATTGAAACCCAAAACCACATAACGATTAAGATTTTGAAAATAGGTATGGATATTCTTATGTAATAGAAGGAGGTAACGCAACATCTTCCTCCTACATGTGTTTTTATCTTACGTAAAAATAAAAAAAAGGCAATTCGATACACATAAGTAAGGGTGTATATAGGTCGGATTGGTTTGGGTGTTTCAATTACCAAACCAAACTAATTGTGTCGGGTTATTAAATCTAAAGACCAAACCAAACCAATAAAAGTCGGGTTTTTAATCTCGATTTTTCTCGGATTTTACGTATTTTCGGGTTATTTCGGTTTTTTTCCCCATAAAGTCTTCATAGAACAAAACATAGAATTGGTGCTCCAAATATTTCTTTGATCCTAGTAAGACATAACTATATAAGGTGTTTTTCAAGAAAATAACATAAAATATGAGATGAGCTATGGCATTATACCAAAATATTCAACAATAAAGATAATAAAGTCGCATAAAATAAATATTTTTAATAAGCCATAATGAAAATAAACATAATCTAAAATTACTAAGTTGCTAAAATAAGTACGGCTAACAAGTACTATTTTTATGAGTAAACACTATAAAAAAAATAAGTAGTGCATTTTATCTAAACCGTGGAAAAACTAAAAAAATAGATATCCAACACTATTGTTATTTCTAGTACAATTTAATTGAATATCTTTTATTAGCATTAATATTGATTATAAAACTTATTGTAGCATTCAAGAATTATAAGTCCAAGTTTAAAATAATATGTTTAAAGATAAAATTATGAAAATGTTTATGAAATATTTATAAACTACACTATACAATAAATAAATTTATGTATTAAATATATTTAAAACTTCTATACATGTAATGTCGGGTTGGTTTGACTTTTTTTAGTTAAAACCAAATCAAACTAATTATGGTCGGTTTTTTTTTCCCAACACCAAATCATAGTTGGTTTTTTTTCTCGGTTTGGTGCGGTTTGTCGGTTTCTTTTGTACACCCCTATACATGAGCATCCCACGTTCATGCAGTGTTCGGAGAAGAGCCGCACCTCAAGAGGCGTAATTTGGGCAACCTACTTTGATGAAAGCATTAGTGACTAATTCTACGACTTGAACCCGTGATCTATAGATCACACGTTGACGACTTTACTTGGTCCAGGCTCCCCTCCTAACTTAACAGGTTGTAGGCTTGTAGCTTTCTTATTTAGTTTTAAACCTAGCTAAAAGATGGCTGGAAGGGTTCTCAAATTTGATCTTCAAAATAAAAGTTTAACAATCTGAATTATGAGATCTCAGATCTCCGCATTATACTTTATTATTATGTACTTAAGATTTATGAATACAATGGAATAAATAATTTAGGTTGATATCAAGCATGATGTTGGCCAGCAATTTACTCTATCTTTTATTTATTTATTTATTTTGTCTGAGACAAGTTGCGGTATTCATGGATGAGGAAGCCTGCTCCGAACAAGCTAATCAAACCGTTGGCATCACTCTTACCAGACAACCAATTTTCATTTGTTTGTAAAATCAGATTACCTTTTTAATTAATCAGTTTAATTTACCAATTTTACCTGCCAACGGACTAATTACCAACTCAATAGCACAGTATTGACTGATTTATATTATATACATCTAATAACGTAAAAGACATTTTACATTTTTTAACGTATGATAGTAGGTTACAGTACCATTAATTATTGTGAAAGCTTGGAGTTTGAAGGAATTATGATATAATGAAGCTGCTTCATTATACAATTTCATCTTAATACTATTATACTAATATAGATATTTTGCATAACTATGGGATGTAATAATTTGCTTTCATCCTAGTACTAATATAATGTTTCCCTAGCTTAAAAAAAATAAAATAGAGAGAAGTTGCTTCAAGGGAAGGAAAAATATTACACCAAAACTTGTGCGGTTTAATTATGGAATTTATCCCATTGTTTGAGTTTATCGAATTTTTTTTTGTTTCGAAACCAAAGCAAGCTTTAATCCTATCTAAGTTGTTCTAGAAAATGTGGCAAGAAGAGATGAGGCAAAGCCACGAATAGGTAACTTTTCATAAGTCCTCCAATATTGTATTGACAAAATAATTAAGCAACGAATTAAGTAAATCAAAACAATATAAACCAATTGCTCTGACAAGAATTAATCGCAAACTTTGCATCTGGTTCTTTGAAGGTTCTTGCACGTGTAAAATCATTAAATTAAAGGAAACGAAGTCAACTCTTATGTTTCTATATAAACACTATAATTCCGTATCAATCTTCTCGCAAAATTAATTGCTGAATAACCCAATTCTCCACATTTCCACATCAAGAATCAAGACAATTATAAATCAATTTCTTTTCACACACTGAACTATACCTTTTGCTTCCTTCTATACCCAAAAGACAATGGAAAAAATTACTCTTTTCCTTATTTTGCTTTTCTTGAATGTATCTATCTTCTCCTTTGTTGGAGCAGTGAAGGGCACCAGTGCTAGTCTTTCAAAACCTCATGCCAACAAATTGGTGTTGTCACAATGCAGGCGCACTCGTTATCCAAAGCTATGTATGACTTCTTTGTCAAACTACGTTACTTCTACGTCTCAACCCCAAGAGCTAGCTCAAGCAGCGTTGCAGGTGAGCTTAGTCAAGGCTATCTACGCAAAAGCATACGTAAATAAGGTTTGCAAACAACTCGAACAAACAAAGGCTAAAGATTATCAAGTTGTGAAAAGTTGTTTAGATCAAATATCAGATGGTGTTTCCTTACTTTCCAATTCAGTCCAAGAGCTTCACCATTTGAATTTAGACAAGGAAAGTGATTTTATGTGGCATAGGAGTAATGTCCAAACTTGGCTTAGCACAGTATTGACTGATGCTTTCACATGCATGGATGGGATTTCTGGCTACAAAATATTAGGTGGTAAAGTAAAAGCTACAATTAAAGCTAAGGTTCTTAATGTTGCACAAGTTACTAGCAATGCTTTAGCTCTGTTTAATGGATATGCTGTTAGGCATAAAGTTTCTCATCACTCCACCTCTGGCAAAATTAACAAGCCATAGTGATCGCTTGAATCTTGGATTTCTTTATTTAATTTTGATTTTTTTTTTGGTTATGTATGTCAAAAACGTATGTAACTTCAATTATATATATGCAGAATGCATTTGCAATTCTTTGTTTCTTCTTTTTTCTTTTTTTCCTGTTATGTATTTGAACTATATCACAATTTTTCTTAGATCTCTTGCGGGACGGATGATCATAACAAGCAAACTAAATAGGTTTAAATTAGAAGAAATTTGTATGGGTCAAAATCTGACCCTGATAGCTGGAGGCGATAAAGAAGTTCGACCCCGTCTTGGGCATGCCCACGAGGCGTAATGGCGACGGCCCCATGGTCCCTGTCGAGGTCAGGCCATCAAAAAGCTTAGATCGCGGGATAAGCGTACGGTCTTAGGTAAGTAACAAAGGGCTGTCACGGCAAAGGAGACTGGTCAAAGACCGTTGGATAAAAGGGAACATTGTTGATATATAAAGGGGGAGAAGGGAACTGTAAAAAAAAAAAAAGACGGGCTATGACTAACAAGAGCAATACTACGAAGCCAAGGGGAGAAGATTCCTCAGTTATCTGCAGCTTCCTTTTAATCTTTTATATTCCTTCCACTGTAATCCAAATCTATCACGAATGTAAGCTTACCATTCTCATTCAATGTATGATAGTTATCTCAAGAATATTAAATTAGTTTATTCTCTTCCATTTTTGTCACGACCCCAACCGGTCCGGTCGTGATGGCGCCTCTCGTGAAGACAAGGCCAGCCGACACAACACTCACATTATCCCCTTAAGCATTAAGAGTCATTTTTAAGCCATTAATTAAACAATGTTCCATAATAACTTCTGAAATAACAGTGCGGAATAAAAATACAAGCCCGACCTCGGGGTGTCACTAGTCATGAGCATCTATCAAGGTCTGAATACAATAAGAAGTCTAAAATAATGTACTAAATACAGTAATAACAATGTGAGGAAGGGAGCGGTGCTGCGAACGTCATGCAGCCACCTGCTAACTCTGATGACTCCGTGCCTGAGCAAATCAACGCCCGCTACCAGGTTCCGATATACCTGAATCTGCACACGAAGTGCAGGGAGTAATGTGAGTACTCCAACCCAGTAAGTAATAAGAGTAAATAAAGACTGAGCAGTAGGAAACAATGAATCCACATTCACGTTAGGCTCAATAAACACAACAGGCTTTCAAATCATAATACGAGTCAACCTTCCCTTTTTAAAATCCAGCTTTTAGTAAAAAAACATTTTTTTTTGACATACTTTCCAGCAGTTTCAGTAGGGGTTTAATACCATTTAAAGTAATAATAGAGATTAAAGTCATAATCGGACCCTCGGGCAAAGCATAGTTCGTAAAACAGCCCCTCGGGCGAAACAATAATCATAAACACTTCATAACTTGAAAACGTCGGTGGAAATAACCAAATGCCAAATCAGTGATTAATTTCTGAACATCTCCTAAATCACAGTTTAAATAAAAGTTGTTTTAAAATATTTGTTCAACTTTCCGACAGAGGCTCAATATAAAGATGAGTGGAAACAGTCAATAAATCAACATATTCGATAGAAACTCGCTTTAAAGAGGAGTGAAATCAATAAGTTCATAAACAGGCCTCTCAGGCAAACATCACTCATATGCATGTATATATCTATCGCCCATCGGGCTAGCCTCTTGATATTAGGTGAATTTGGCTATAATCACACCTTAAATAATCACCTTCTTGTGTAGTTTTAATGCTAAAAGTGATAACAAAATGCTCTTATTAGTGCTTTTCATGATTTGCAGGTGATATATGTATAAGGAAGGCTAAGGAGCAGTTTTGGAGTCAAAATTGGAGAAAAGAGGCCAAATGTGTAAATTCCCAATGAAGCTACGCCCTGCCAGCCCTTAGGATTCAGAAAAATGGTTTGGACGCGGTTCTACCGCGACCGCGGCAGAACCGCGGTGGAAGGCAGCTTCAGAACTTTAGAGATTCAGAGAGGGTGATTGGCCGCGGTTCTACCGCGACCGCAGCAGAACCGCGGCAGGCGCAGAAAAGTTCAGGGGTCAAAGTGTTAAATACGGATTTTTAGACCTAAACCCTATTTAAAATATTAGACTTCGCCCAAGAGAGGAGGGATTGATTTTTAGGGTTTCTTAGCAAGGAAAACCATTGTGAGAGAATACTCCAAACATCTTTCTTCTTTACTTTTGATTTTTATGATGAATTCTATCTTAGTTTATTTTCCCATAGCCATGAGTAGCTAAATTCCTTGTCTAAGGTTTTGATGGAACCTATTGGGTGATGAACTTCTTGTTTATGTGAATACAAATTGCTAGCTTAATCTCTATTTGTTCAACTTTGTGCTTGTTGTAGTTAATTGACAGGATCCTCAATTAGCTGTGCCTATTTAGTGTGCATAACTTGGAAAAGAATGCATATTTAGGGTATTGTTGAACAACACCACTCCTAGATTATTAGAGGAATCTATAATTGCGGGTTTAAAGGCGGGATTAGGGATAACGAAGCCTTGGGTGTAATCTAAAGTGAATCGTGCTAAATAAAGTAAGCTAGTGTATCTCGGGAGAGTGCAATAGTAAATTACTGTGATTACTCGGGAGAGATTTACGGTAAGATTAGCGTTCATGATTGATAGAGATGTGTTGGTAAATTTGTATGAGCATAAACAGAAGGGATTCCATCAATAGGGGAAATCATTGCCTTAGCTTCTTCTCATCATTGTTTACAACCTTAGCATTTTAATTTTCAGCTGTTCAAGTTACTTGCAATCGTAGTTAGTAAAGCAACCTTCAACTGTGATTCAAACATCTGGGAAACTAGTTCTGAAGAGTTTAGTGGGTCTAAAGATAGTGATTGATAGGTTAACTCTCTGTGGATTCGACCCTGAGCGTAATACTCGGGTTATATTTGCAACGTCCGCATTGTCCTTTTTATAAGGCATAGTTGGGCGTGATCAAATTTTGGCGACGTTGCCGGGGAGTTAACAGAATTATCAATTACCATTGATAGAAATACAAAAATTCTTAGTGTGGTCAGTTTTCTCTCTACCTAATTTTTCATAGAAATTTTGACGGTTGTTGATCTGGGTGCACAGGTGTATGCCTAGAAATTCTACGAGGACTGGAGAACTACTTGAAGGACTCTCAGACCCCGAGAAAACATTCCGGGTATTGAATCGTGCCAACAAAAGACTTCAACAATCCCAGCAAAGACACAAATTCGAAATTGACATGGGAGACGTAAACGATCCCAACGGAAACGTCAGGAATGAGCAATTGGCACCTCCTGTGCCTGAGGGTGCACTATATGACTGGGCACAACCCACAGCTGACAATCTGGCCACTGCCATTGTTGTGCCCGCAATACAAGCTGAATCGTTCCAGATCACAAATAACTTGCTACACTTGTTGCAGAACAAGGGACTCTTTTCTGGGACACAAACAGAAGATCCTCAGCAGCACTTGAAGAACTTCCTATCTATATGCAAAACTCAAAGGCAACCCAACGTGACTCCGGAAGCAATCAGGCTATTATTGTTTCCATTCTCGGTGACAGGAGCTGCTCAGGTTTGGCTAAACTCGCTCCCCATAAACTCTATAGAAACTTGGGATGAGTTAGTCAAGCAATTTCACAACAAGTTCCATCCGCCCAACAAAACTGCTCAACAAATTGATGAGATCGTGAGTTTCAAACATAAACCAATGGAGACACTACACGAGACATGGGGCAGGTTTAAAGGAATGTTGGTTATGTGTCCCCACCATGGTGTTCCAGAACAGATGTTGGGACAACGGTTTTACATGGGAATGTCTGACAGCATGAAGAATATCGTAGATGCCTCTGCTGGTGAGGCATTCTTGAGCAAGACTTGGAGAGAAGGTCAGAATTTGCTCGACAAGATGGCGCAGAATTCGGGTTTGACAACTAGGAACGCACCTATCACTCCAGTGGTGCACTCAGTGCCTCTTGATCCTTCCAATACAATGGCTGAAAATATGGCGACTCTCTTGACACAAATGAGCATCCTCACCAAAAAGGTGGAGGAATTTGGGCAGAAGCAGCAGGTACATATACTAGATACTACCAATGGGGGCTTGTGCACATCTTGTATTAGCCAGCCAATTGGTAATCCTTGGAATGCAGAGCATGATCATCATCATCAGCACCCTAAAGATATGAACTATGTGGCTAACTATGAGGGTTAGAGGCAAGGTAATCAGAACTGGGGTCAGCAGACTCAGCAGCAGTACAGGCCACCTCAGCCACAGTATAACGCTGGAAACATGGGAGGCATGAGACTCCCCAACAACATGGCACCGTATCCTAGACCACAGGGGTACAACAATCAGCAGCAAGGGTACCACCCACCTCAGCAACAGCAGGGTGGAAGACAGGAAGACGGGTTTGCAAGACTTGAAGCAATGATGCAGCTGGTTATTGGGTCCAACGCTAAGATAAATGAAAGGGTGGATGCACATGATGCAGCTATCAAAAATATTGAGGTACAAGTGGGCCAGATTTCAATGTCACTTAACAATCGTCCTCAAGGGACATTACCTGCAGATACCCAAATCAATCCAAAAGATCAGGGCCCAAAGCAGCTGATGGCGGTGAGTCTCCGGAATGGCAGGGATCTAGATGTTGAGCAAGAGAGAGCTCGAGAAAACATACAGGCTGAGACACTCATTCCAGTGCCCATTGAGCTGGATGAGTCTACGGGATTGACAGAGGTAACAGTCCAGCCCGCAGCTGAAGAAAAGAATATGCAGCAAGAGACTGAGACAGTAGCTGAGCCAGTAGTTGAAACAGTAGCTGAGAAAGAGAAATCCCAAGTGATTGGGAAGAAAAGACCTCCTGAGGACATGCTTTCAAACAATTAGAGTGAGGATAGGTAGTAAAAATGCCCCTAAGGGTCTCAACAAGTCGGCACAAGGCCCCAAACATGGCATACAACCCAAAATATAATAACATCGAACAATTAACTATCAAATACGCATTAGAGTACTCGTTCGGGAAGGACTAGGTCACAATCCCCAGCGGTGCTCTGCCCCACACTCGTCATCTAGCGTGTAAGTCACCTCAAAGTAACACAACGATGTGTAATCCAGGGTTTC